GACCACCAGTTAGTCCTCTAATGTCAACGTGCTGACATCTGAAGAAATTTCAGCACTTTCCTGCCATACGTATTGCACCTGCTATTTCCAGGAGTATAAGTGCCTTTAATTTAGTGAAACCTGTTATTGGAGAAAATATAGCAAGATCATTGATTCTGGAAATGAGGAGAATAAGACCGCAATCACAGTATTGCTTGAATCAGGGGTTGGCCTGCCTGGAAGTGGGAATGCTAGTGAGTGGAGGCTCTGAGAAGAGAAGGAGCTACAGAGGATGGCAGTTGGGCCTGGGATTAAGGCATGCAGATGTGCAGATGTACAGGCATGCAGATGTGCATATATGCAGGTGCGCAGATGTGTAGGCGTGCAGGTGTGCAGATGTGCAGGCATGCAAGTGTGCAGGCATGCAGGTGTGCTTGTATGCAGATGTGCAGGCATGCAGGCATGCAGGTGTACAAGTGTGCAGATGTACAGGTGTGCAGGTGTGTTTGTATGCAGATGTGCAGGCATGCAGGCAGGCAGGTGTACAAGTGTGCAAGTGTGCAGGTGTGCAGGCGTGCAGGTGTGCTTGTATGCAGATGTGCAGGCATGCAGGTGTACAAGTGTGCAGATGTGCAGGTGTGCAAGTGTGCAGGCGTGCAGGTGTGCTGGTGTGCAGATGTGCAGGAGTGCAGGTGTGCAGGCGTGCTGGTGTCGGGTGGGTCCAGGACTTCTGCAGACAGAGGGCTCAGTGAGCCTGTGCCTGTGGGCTATGACCTCACCACTGTTTCTCAGTCCTTTCCTCCCTGCTCAGGGGGGACAAGATGGGTAGAGGGGCTGGAGTTGGGTGTTTCCCTTCCCAGCGAGGCTCTGACAACCCAGCAGGTCAGGCTCAGGTTCACTAGTGTCCGCTGAGGGCACGCCTTAAGAACAGAGTGCTCTGGGGCAGTGCAGAAACTCACGGGGCAAACCTGCTAAGCTCCTGCAGGTAAAATTCACAGAAGTGTCAGGGCCTTGGTGACTGGGTCCTCCCGGAGCTTTTGTTTCTTGGGCTTGTCCCGCTGAGCCTCCAGCCCGGGCATGGGGTGCGGCTGGGTTCTCTGTACAGGCACTGGTTCCCATAGAGATGTCTGCTTCGTCGGTTGTGATTCTCTGCACTTGTGTGTTGGGCTCTCTAACTGGGGGGCCGTGGTGGGTCTAAGAGAGTGGCATCTCCCAGCTTCTTGCATGCCTGACCAGCAACCGCAAGTCTCTAGTTATATTCTTTATGGTTTCCGCCCATTCGTAGCATGTGTTACTAGGTTTCCATTTACAAGACAGTTGGGAGGGTATTGATTTAAATACATTGATTTTAAGAAAATAAATAAATTGGTTTGTTTTAATGAAGTAATTAAGAGGACCAGCATTCCACAAACATGGCAAAGATCTTGAAAGTGGTTTGAGTGACAACAGTTGGGGAAGCAGAGACAATAGCTGTCATGAGGAAGAGGCATGGTGAGTGCCTGTCAATGAGCCGGTCATTATTCTCAGGAACTCGTTAGCGGCCCAGTGTGAGCAAAGGGCCCTTTGTGTTAACTGACCTCCAGCAGGTACCCTTGACCTCCAGCAGGCACCCTGGGCCTCCAGCAGGTACTCTCAACCTCCAGCAGGCACCCTGGGCCTCCAGCAGGCACCCTGGACCTCCAGCAGGCACCCTGGGCCTCCAGCAGGCACCCTGGACCTCCAGCAGGCAACCTCAACTTCCAGCAGGCACCCTGGGCCTCCAGCAGGCACCCTTGACTTCCAGCAGGCACCCTGGACCTCCAGCAGGCACCCTCTACCTCCAGCAGGCACCCTTGACCTCCAGCAGGCACCCTCTACCTCCAGCAGGCACCCTCTACCTCCAGCAGGCACCCTGGGCCTCCAGCAGGCACCCTCTACCTCCAGCAGGCACCCTGGGCCTCCAGCAGGCACCCTCGACCTCCAGCGGGCACCCTCTACCTCCAGCAGGCACCCTGGACCTCCAGCAGGCACCCTTGACCTCCAGCAGGCACCCTGGGCCTCCAGCAGGCACCCTTCGGAAGAGAGTCCAAGAGAGCGGCTTTGACGCAGTGGGGATAACTACACGGGACCTGTGCTGCTCTATCTGTCGACCAATCACCTGCTCTCCAGAAGCTTCCAAACCACCCCTGCTGAGGGTCGTAATCAAACCCCTCAAGTGGGGCTTCCTTCCAGCCACAAAAAGTGCCCCTTGTGGTCCAAATGATGCCCCTTGGGGTTCAGACTGAGGTGAATTAATGGCCTAATCCATCCAGCTCCTCTGAAGAGAATATTTCAATCCTATCAGCAGCCCAAACTCCCCCCTGGCAGATAAGACCGCCCACTGCTCATGAGAGCCCAGGAGGCAAATGACATCCTTTGCCTGTGATTGTTGAGTGGAACCCTGGGTGCCAGACCCTGAGGGGGAGCAGGCTGAGCTCAGGCTCGGTCCCATCTCCAGGGCTCAGTGCCAGCCAGGTAAGCCTGCAGCCCTCAGCCAAGTCAGCACAGGCAGGAGCTAGACACCATATTCAAAGCACAGCTGGGTAGGCAGGGGATCCACAAGGCTCGGGATCATGACAATGGAAACAAAATGGTTTTATCTAAGTCAGCGGTTCTCAACCTGTGGGTCCCGACCCCTTTGGGGGTCGAATGACCCTTTCACAGGGGTCGCCTAAGACCATTGGAAAACACATATATAATTACATATTGTTTTTGTGATTAATCACTATGCTTTAATTATGTTCAATTTGTAACAATGAAAATACATCCTGCATTTCAGATATTTACATTATGATTCATAACAGTAGCAAAATTACAGTTATGAAATAGCAACGAAAATAATTTTATTGTTGGGGGGTCACCACAGCATGAGGAACTGTATTAAAGGGTCGCAGCATTAGGAAGGTTGAGAACCACTGATCTAAGTGGCAACAAACACGAGTGGGGCAAAAGCCAGCAAGGTGAGGTGGCCTTGGTGTGGGCCGAGGGATGTTTAACCCTGTGCAGGATGTAACATCACTGCTACTCCAGCTGCGCCCAAGAGGGCTGTATGCTGGGACTCGTGAAAGGGCTTTTCTTATGATGTTTAAATGGTCCAGGGTTCAGTATCTCAGTCATAGGAGGATGCCATTGAAGCAGTGAATGGACAGAAATATAAACACAAAACTGGGATCCAGGCTGGGGATGAGAAAAGTGGGTACTCCAGGAGAGAGAAGGCAGCCCTGGAGGGGTGAAGGGAGGGAGTGGGCAGGGGAGAAGGAAGGAGAGGACCCTTTTGATTGGAAGTGACAAAAACAAACTAAACTGGGTTAACAAGAATTAGAGGAACATCAACGCATGACATGGAGAAAGCACAAGAGGTACAGGCTCCAGGTGAAGCGGGCTGCCTGCGTCTCTCCATCTCTCTACTCCGTGTCTCCGGTAGGCACCCTGGGCTGGCACCACCCGCCCATGGGCCTGTCACCCACAGGGACCAGGAAGGAGAGACCCAGCATCCCTACCAGCCTCTCAAACGACTCACTGGCTCGCTCGGGCATGTGCTCACCCCAGGCCAACCATGGGTCATGGGACAATGGGGTAGGTACTCTGATTGGCCAAGTTGGACCAACTGATTAACAGTCCCGCCAGAAACATGGAGAGGAGAGAAGCGAAGGTCCCAAAATGAACAAATGCTTTGAAATACTTCCCCCCGCAATTTAATCCGTATAATCCCACCAAGTAGGCGTTTTATTCTCAATTTGACAACATTAACTCCATGTCAAACTTTGCCACCTTCAGCTTTGCAGACAAGTCAGGTTCTGAGATGGGACAGCTGTGGATGGATCCACGAGGTCTCCACCCTCCACCGCTGCCCAGGACTAGACTGGTCATGAGCCCACCTGGGCTGCTGGTCGGGTCAGGCAGCACCCCTGCTTCCCTGGGGCCCCAGGCCCTGCCTCAAATCTTCTATTTCTGGGACCCTCCCCCATAACTGTGTTCAGGAGCCACTGCCCAGACGACTGGGGAGAGTGACTGCAGGGGGAGCATTTCCATCCCAGAGAGAGAAAGCCGTTTCACATCGGAGTGACTTTCTTTGTCAAAATGCCCCCATTCCAGGCAACGCCCTGTACTTTGCCTCTGGTGACAAAAAAAGCCCAACAAAATGTTTCCTTAGACAGAAAGCCGTTTTGGGGGCAGTGAGCTCTCTTCCCACTCCCTGGGGCACCAGCAGGCGTTCCCTGCAGTTCCACGTGGGCCTGTTCCGGTCCCGCCACACGGCCCACACGGACAGTGCTCTGGCTGGTCACGTCGGGAGCATTTCGGCGACCACAGGCTAGACTTTCTCTGGGAGACTGCCCAAGAAGCTGCTAATCCCCTTGACCTCGGTCACAAATCCGTCATCTCCTAGGTTGTCCTTCTTGGCTGATATTCAAAATGTACTCAGTTTGAAAGCCACGTTCCCTTTGGTGTCCAGCATGCTGGGGGTGTGCTGGGCCGCATCAGAAACCAGCAGGTGAGGCGGTTTGTTTTCTGTCTCTCCTGCCATTCAAACAAGACTTTGAAATCTGTCCCCGAAGTAGAGAAAAAACTCCTACGTGTGTTACGCTTGTGACCCAAAGTGATGCGGCTGGGTGTCTGGTGAGCTGTGGTCCTTGCCTAACACATGGCATAACCTCGAAGTTCACCAGATCACCACCATCCGGAAAGAAAGCTGCGAGACGATGACACAGTGAGATCGAACACAGCCAGCCGGCCGCCTTGAACAGGAGGAGCACTGGTGCCCCGATTGGAGGCCACGCTCCCCGCTCCCCACGAAGTCCCCATTCACTCAGGGGACTGAAGTCAGGCCCTGCTGCCACCAGGCTTGGCCCCTGGACGGAGGACCAGCCTCCTGAGGACCAGCGAGGGGCTGTGTTCCCTGGTCTGTCACTAACACACTGGCAAAGCGTCCGCCTGGTGCCAGGTGCCGTGTACGTGCAGAGGCCACAGAAAAGGATAAGAAAACTTGCCCCTGAAGGGCTCGCCTACAGCTGGAAGGGAGGCAGAGGCCAGGGGGAGGTACACTTGCCCAGAGCCATGCCAGGGGGCATGGGAGGAGCCTGGGGGTCAGAGGAGAAGCTGACCTGGGCCTGGATGCTGGCCGAGGCCGCCCCAGCTGCACCTGCAGGTGGCGGAAGAGGGAGCCCGGGAAAGCTCAGCATGACTGGAAGACACCGGCTGGAAGGGCATGCCCAGAGCCTGGTCTTCCCACTGAGAACACGAGACGCTATACCTCCCTGTTGGGCTCTTGGGCAATGGGTGTGAGTTGCCCACCTCCTGTGAACAGGGGCAAGCTGGCCTGGGAGGCGCTGGAATAGCACCCAGTCTTCAGAACCGGGATGAATATCCATCTGAAGACAGTTGGCAATAAAATAGTCTTCACACTTATTGAGAGTTCGCCCTGATCCTGCCGAGCCCAAGCTTGATTTAAAACCCTTCCATCTGGAATTATTAGTTAAGGGCAGTTTCCCAGTGAAGACGGATGGGGTAAGCGATCTCACTGCTGGCTTTCGGGGAACCGTGGCATACCCCTACCACGCAGCAAAAGTTCTTTAATCATGGTTGATTGATGATTAGAGGCCTTGAATTATTAGCGAATGGCATCTCTGCAAAGGAATGACTTATTGGGCCAGCAGACTTTGCAAAGGAACGCAGATCCTGAATTGAAAGGCCCCTCATTTGACTATCTGTCTTCACAGTGGAAACTAAACCCGAAGCAGAGGCTAACGTTTAGCCTTGATTTCCGATCTCTGCGCATTTGCCATGGTGAGGAGACAGAAGCCGGCACGGGAGAGTGCCCCCATTTGCAGGTTGTCCTACACCCTGGGGAGCTCCCACACTCAGGCCTCGCCACCTCAGAGCGGCCTCTGCGTTCCGGATCCCCGTGAGGAGGAAGCAAGCTTGCAGCCGCCTTCACAAGGGGCCTGTCCTGAAACAACGGACGCGCCAACGCCACTCCCTGGCCCGGGCCCGCGGCCACCCTCTCAGTTCATTTGCTTGAGAGCACATTGTATTGGTTCCAAGGGAAAAGAACGTGCTGGTTTTGTGACTGACATGCCCCACTTCTTCCCTTCCTGCTTCCCTGGTTCAGCCTCCAGTGCTCTGAAGGGCAAGGTCAAGGGGAGCAGCATGCTGTGGACGTGATCAGCCCGCTCCCTGGCCTCTTGGGCCCATGGGAGGCACCGAGCTCACTCCTGCCCTGCTGGGCTCCCTGCCTGGGGTGCTGCCTCCCTCCCGGTCACCATCAAACTCACGCTCAGCTCCGACAGCACTCACTGGGGCTGCCCTGACCCCAGACAAGGTCACCCCCCTTTCCTGTCAGCACCTCCTTTCCCCCTCACTCACAAAGCAATGTCCTCTTATTTTTTGGTTTTTACAGAGACTGGAAGGGAGGAAGGGAAGGAGAGAGAGAGGGAGAGAGAGAGAGAGAGAGGGAGGAAGGGAAGGAGAGAGAGAGGGAGAGGGAGAGAGAGAGAGAGAGAGACAGAGAGAGAGACAGAGAGAGAGAGAGAGAGAGAGAGAGAGAGATCAGTGTGAGAGAGACACATCAATTGGTTGCCTCCTTCATATGTCCCAACCATAGTCCCAGGGCTAGGGTTTGAGCCTGCAACCTAGGTACATGCCCTTGACCGAGAATCAAACCGAAGACCCCTCCGTGTGTGGGCTGGACTTTAACCACTGAGCACCACCGGCCAGAGCGTCAGTGTCCTCTTAAAAGCATAAAGGAAATGACTAATATATATATGACTACACGATACTTTACATTTCACATGGAAGAGGGTGTCAGGGAAAGATACTTCTAACCCGTGACTGACAGAGCAACACCCTCACGTATAAAGTGCTCTTACAAACAAATAGAAACGGGCGAAGAACAAGCACAGGCTGGTCACATGGAAACAAATGGCTCAGAAACAGACTCTCCTGTGCTCGACTCATTCCATTTTTAAGGGCAGACACGGAAGTGAAAACTACAATTACAAACCCTTTAATTTTCTTTTTTACTTAGACTGGCAAAAATTAAAATATTGGTAATAAACACTATTGATGGAGCATTGGAGGACAATTGTTGGTCTAGGAAATTCACTTTGAAAAAAAATCTATTTCACCCTAAAGTATGAATGATTCCCACCAGGACAAGAACAATGGCCGCATTTCAGGCACCGGTATCAGGCCGGAGAGAGAGCCAAGGGGCGGAGGGAGCTGTCCGCAGCTCTCACGTCTCACTGGAGAGTCCAGCTGCCCACCTCCCTCGAGAGACAGGACGGCGGGGCAGGTGTGGAGAGCAGGGAAGCCCACCTGTCCGCACTATTGGGGTCACAGGACAGCCTGCTCCAGGGGAGGGAGGGTCGCGATCATTCACAGCAGCACGACTGGCAGTCTGAGTGTCTGGCCAGCTTCACCGCGCGGAGCTGAGCCACGTGCACCGTGCACCAGGTCCTGAGACAAGCCTCCCCCCACCACACCCCCCGTCCACCTGGAGCCCCTCGCCTGGACCCACTGCAACCTGGGCTGTCGGTGCTGCTGTTCTCAGGGGCGGAGGGAAAGGACGTGAGGGGGAACCTGTCACCTCTCTGGCTGTGATGTTAGCCCCTCAGGAGGGCTTGCTGGGGACCACCCCACAGTCTCTGAGTCTGTAGCTCTGGGGCGGGGCCTGAGAATGTGCACTGTAACGAGTCCCCGTGGGGTGCTGACGCTGCGGACCATAGCACCCGCGGGGAGAACCACCCGGGTGGGTGAGTCAGAGGCTTCTGATCTGGGGCAAAGGGCAGCAGGGGCCCTGGATGCAGCCCCACGGGGATCACAGGTGCAGCTTCTATTTCAGCCGCAGGACCCCGGCCAGATCCTACCCTGAAAATAACCAATCCAGGTCATGACCTGGCCTTTGAATGGTGGCCCAGAGAGCAGGTGCCATGAGATCACCAGCCCAGTGCCCAGGGCTGCCTCCTGCCAGTCTGGGAGCCTCCACCCTGGCAGGATAGCAGAGTCCCAGGGCCCAGTCCCCACTCTCCTGACCTGCTGTGTGCGCGCCAGCAGCTCCTCTGCCCCAGCTTCAGGGCCTGGTCAGAGAGCACAGGCAGCTCAGGGCCTGGTCAGAGAGCACAGGCAGCTCAGGGCCTGGTCAGAGAGCACGGGCAGCTTCAGGGCCTGGTCAGAGAGCACGGGCAGCTTTAGGGCCTGGTCAGAGAGCACAGGCAGCTTTGGGGCCTGGTCAGAGAACACAGGCAGCTCAGGGCCTGGTCAGAGAGCACGGGCAGCTCAGGGCCTGGTCAGAGAACACAGGCAGCTCAGGGCCTGGTCAGAAAACACAGGCAGCTCAGGGCCTGGTCAGAGAACACAGGCAGCTCAGGGCCTGGTCAGAGAGCACGGGCAGCTTCGGGGCCTGGTCAGAGAGCACAGGCAGCTTTGGGCCTGGTCAGAGAGCACGGGCAGCTTCGGGGCCTGGTCAGAGAGCACAGGCAGCGTGCTCCTGCCGCAGGGATCGAATGGAAGGCGCTCGGACTCTGTGGCAGTGCCCAGCGGGGTGCGAGCTCAGGAAGAGTAGTGCCATGAGCGACAATAGAAAGGGCTGCTACCAGTTCTGCCCTTAGGCAGCTGATCAATGATTCTCTCTCATCATTGATGTTTCTATCTCTCTCCCTCTCCCTTCCTCTCTGAAATCAATAAAATATATTTTTAGAAAAAGAAGTGATGGTTTCCTGCTCACATCTGCCCTTCCTCAGAAGCAGGGACACGAAGCATGAGTTTCCCTTGGACGCGCGGAGATTTAGGGTGGAGCTGGCCCTGACCTCGCTGAGGGGCATGACTGAGGCCCCTGGGTCCGAGCCTGGCCCTCCACGCTGGTGGTCAGCGGCTACCCGACCAGCACAGACCGGCTGTTAGGACAGGGGACAGAGAGGGCCCTGGGGCTCTGGAAACCTCATACGCAGAGAAGCTGAAAGTAGCCTTTCACTCGTGCCTGTGCACTGGGGCATAGCTCAGATCTCTAGGTCTGGGTCCAGACTCCCATTGACCCACTGGATCCAGCTGGCTGACCTTCGCAGCCTGTGCCCGGCCAGGTGCCCACATTCCCGCCGGCAACCCCTAGACGGCCTCTGCAAGCGGCTGACTACGTGTGAGCCCCAGGCCCGCGACCAAGGCATCGTTAGCCTCTCCGTGTGGCCACAGCGCAGAGGTGGCCGTGACTCGGAGGCTCTGAGCAGGGGTGTCACAGTGGCGCCAGAGAAGGTCCCTCCTCGGGGTTGCAGGGTGTCCACAGCTAACTTGGAACTTCACGGCTTCCTCATGACCGTGTCTCCAGCGCCCAGAGCTCTTCCTGACCAGCTCGGTTTCATGAATTTAAAGTCAGTAGCTGACGCTCCAGGAGGCTGTATTTTAAATATGTATTTGTATTGATTTCAGAGAGAAGGGAGGAGAGAGGGATAGAAACAATGGTGAGAGAGAATCATTGATCGGCTGCCTCCTGCACCCCCCACACTGGGGATCAAGCCTGAAACCAGGGCCTGTGCCCTGACCAGGAATCAAACCATGACCTCCTGGTTCATAGGTTGACCCTCAACCACTGAACCACACTGGCCGGCAGGGAGGCTGCATTTTAAAGCCTTGCGCCATTTGCCAGTGTTTCAACCAGGGCGACTTGACCCCGGGGACCCCGAGCAATGTGTGTGTGGAGACGTTTGTGGGTGTTACAACTGGGGGAGGGTGCCCCTGGCATGAGTGGGTGGAGGGCAGGGATGGCACCCAAGGGCACAGGAGGGTCTCCACCACGGAGAGTGATTCAGCCCAGAGGGTCCTAGTGCTGAGGGGAGACCCCCATAGGCCCACTCACCCACTCGGAAACCTGCCCAGAGGCCAAGAGGTTCCTGACCTCTGTTTTAAAGACCTGCCCTCTGCTGGCCGAGGGCCGCAGTCCCAAGGAGCGGGGTAGCCTATGCCTCTGGAGGCCAGGGCCATGCTATCCCACGTGCCCGGCCTGCCCACCACCGACTCTGGGTGACACTGCCCTTTGGGGCACTGCTGAGCTCGTGAGGGGCTGAGAACGGAATGAGAACAACTACGGAGGAGTTGCTGGCCCTCCTCACAGTGGACGGAGTAGACAGAACCCAGCACAATGCCCCTTAGTGCTACGCGCCGTCGGGGGCAGCAAGTCTCGCCGGGACCCAGCGTTTGCAGAGCCCAGAGCAGGCAGGTGCCTGAAAGAGGGTCCGTCCTGATGCAGAGCCCAAAGAGAAATGCCTCCTCCCCCACTGCCCGAGCTTCTCATCGCCCTGGGTTTACTGAGTGTTTCCCTGTGGGAGGCAGGACCCTACAGGTGTCCCCAAGCCCAGTCTACTCAGACACACCCTAACCTGGCACTGCTTGGGGGTCCGACAACCTGTAAACTGGATAATAAGTTCCCGGTCCCCTACACCCCCACAGGGTAGATGTGTGGGAGCAGCATGCCTGCTACAAACACTCCTGTTCCCATAAACTCATCACCACGGTCCGCACTTGCCCACGTGAGCAAAGCGGGGGGACCAGAGAAGTCCGAGGGGCCCTCACGGCCTGCCTGCGGCCTGCCCTCCCCGCACCTGGCGGACGCGGCATCACAGGTGCTGCGCTGGTTGCACTCCGTCTCCCAGGTTGGCGGTTCCAGGGATGGCTCTGGGGTTGGGCAACCACAGGCTTTCTCAGGCCAGGAGGTGGTTTCATTGGAAGAACAATTTTTTTTTCCCAAAACGTAGACTTCTGACCCATCTGTGTGCAGTGGCCTGAGTCCATCGCTCTCTGAGGATGTGCTGCGAGCAGCGAGCCGCAGTAACGTGTTTCTACGTTACGCAGTTCCTCCCTCATCCTTGCTCAGAGCTTGAGCGCCTCTCAGAAGCACAGGAGCCCTTGTTACCAAGGCCTTGTCTGCATGAGAAGGGTCACCGATCCTCTGGCCACGACATGGCCCCACGCATTGAGCCCCCGCCACGTTGCAGTTCTGCTTCTTGGGGCTTGTTTCTCTTGTTCCTATATTTTGTATCAGTTAAGATTAGATTTGGCCACAAGTGACAGAAAATCCGAAATAGCAGTGATTTAAACAAGACATATTGAGTTCTCCTTCATTTTGAGACTAGAGTAAGGTGGTCCAGGAATGGGCCCGTGGGGCTCCTTGGTGTCAGAGACCTACCCCCTTTCTGTCCTGTTGATGCCCCCACATACAGAATGGCTGCCACAGCGCCAGCCATCGTATCTTCATTCCAGCCAGCAGACCTCGGAGACGGGGAAGAGACAGACCCATCTCCACCCTTCAAGGACACTTCCTGGAAGTTACCTTCCATTGGACAGAACTCGGTCACTTGGCCATATCTGCCTGCAGGGGAGGGTGGGAAATGTCACTCGAGTTCCTGATGGCTGACAGGGGTTCTGTGTTTGAGGAAGGAGAGGCAGCAGATATTGAGAAGATTCGCAGTCCCTGCCCCTCATATTCGTGTTGGGTACCAGTACCAGAGTCCGTGCTGGGAAAGGTAGAGAAGTGTCTTTGCTGTTGCCTCAGGAGTCTTTATCCTCCTTCTCCTTCTTACGGCAGATTTGTTTGGCCTCTGACACACACATTTCAGAGGTGACGGTGACTAGACAAGGTCTGGGGTCCTCTGCCCACGTGCCTTTGGGGGGACCGTGACTACACCTGCTGAGCAGGGACACACAGGGAGGTTCCGGTGCGAGTGCCACTTGGGTGTTATCTGTGTTCACAACGTCTGTGTTCAGAAAATCACAAGAGTAAGCAGGACAGGCACCTCTGATGAGAAGCTCCGTGCAACAAACGAGATTGTTAAAGCGAACGGAAAACCACAATTGATGAAACACCAAATACATACTTAACCTGGGAGACCGCAGCTATCCTTAGACTGCTAAGCAATTGGGAGACTAATGTTCTTAATACCATCAGTTTCCTTGAAAACACTCTTCGGTTATACTGCATAATAGACCCGGTGCAGTTCACAGGTAAGCCCCACTGGAGGCTTAGGCTTTCACCAGTGGTTTCCCACGGAAACATGTTAAGCGTGTGGATAGACGCGGGAGTGGACTTGTAGGAGACGCAGCCACATCATGAATGTTCAGTGCAGATATCAGCCGGGGAAGGCGATGCTGTGTCACACAGACTGGCATCCACAGGAACGCCTGACGTCTCCTACGCCAGGGGAGCTTCAGAAACACGCCCCCGGGGCCCCTTACCCCCAGGACACAACCATCCCTCTGAGGCCTGTGAAACTAGCCAGGGGCTGGGCTTGTTTACATATTGGCTCCAAAACACACAAAGGCTGCAACATTGATTAATAAAAATTAATCAATGTCTAATTCAGTGTCCACAAAATGTAACATTTTGTTCTCCTTGTGAATTATTAACTTGGGCATCATTGACATTTTCCCTGAGTATTTTATTACTTTTGAAAACAATCGGTTGGAGAGAGTGTCCTATGGCAGGAATTCACCAACATGCACAGCAGCCAGGATTCACCACCCACCAGCTGTCCGCGGCCAAAGCGAACTTCCTTCTAACCTTCCCATCTGTAAGGCGTGGGTCTGTTTGTAACGCAGGGCTGTGGATCCGTCTGCACCTGTTGATTCCATGGGAGGTTTCCAAAAAGAATGCCTTCAGCAAGGGTCGGCACTCTTTTTTCTGTGAAGAGCCAGAAAGGAAACAGGTCTGGCTTTGTGGGAACAGAGGGTCTGTGTTGTGACTAGCAGCCCTGCTGTGACAGCACAGAGCAGTCATCGGTGGCACATAAATGATACACGAGCATGGCTGGGCGCCAATAAAACTTTATTCACAAAACAGATGGGGGAGAGGGGCGGCAGATCATTCTCTGTCCCTTGCCTCGGATCCAGGAAGGCCTAAGACCACCTACACTTCACACTCAAAAACTACACTTTTCAGAAAAGCACTTTTATCATGAATAACCCAGAAATGTCTTCGATTCTCCTGGGAGCCCCCAGTGATCGCACAGCGGCTCTAGGGTCAGATGGGCGCTCCAGGGCCCCAGGTGAGGAGTGAGGAAACCATGTACAAACACCGAGGCTTTGCAGTAAATGTTCCCACCCCTTCCTCATAAGAAAGAGGAGGTTTTAACCCTGAGTCTGCTAAAGCGACGTTTAATAGACTTCACCCATTCATCCCAGGGTGCCGGAGGGCACTCACAGGTCACGCTCATCAATCATTAAGGTTTCCCGATTCCCTGTCGCCTTTTAGGTCTGCAATGTGTGCATGCGAGTGTCCTGATAGCATTTAGCGTTTTGCTGAGCCAGACTCTCATCTATTGCTCAGACCAGGAAACTGACTTTGTAGAGCTCATGTCCTACTGTTAACCCTTTTTAACCTTTTTAAAAGCCATCCTCTCCCCCACACTTATCCCAGCAGTAAGTGGACAAGTAAAAAATCAATTAAGCTTGTGATTTTGTTTAAAGATACAATGTAATTGGAGTAACATGAAATGTCTTCTTTAAGAAAAAGAAGAAATAAAGATAAAACATATGAACAATAAAATGGCAATAAATACATATCTATCAACAATTGAATCTAAAAATCAAAATAAATGAACAAGCAGAACAGAAAGAGACTCATAGATACACAGAACATTTTGACAGTTGCCAGATGGGAAGGGTTGGGGGATGGGTGAGAAAGGTGAAGGGATTTAGAAGAACAAATGAGAAGTTATTGTGTAGCCATGGGGGTGTAGGGTACAGCAGGGGGAGTACAGTCAGTGATATTCTAATCCCTAGGTATGGTGTCAGATGGGTATGAGTATTGAGGGGACTGGGGTGTACACCTGAAACAAATATAGTATTGTATGTCCACTGTAATTGAAAAATAAAAATCGATTTTTAAAAAGATACAACCTAATTGGAATTTATTCATTAAAGGCTACTAAATTATTTTGCTTACATAATCCATGCAAGTTAAATTATGTCTGTTCATCTTTAAAGTATGCACTGCTTATAAAGTTGTAAGCATAATCATTTCTTTCATAACATTTTATTTATGTGTACTAAAAAACTGGAAAGGATTACTATTTATTTTTTTAATCACTAAAAATACTGAGCACTAATCTTCTAGAAAATATTTCCCTATTTACCTGTTTTTTTCACTGAAACTGAAACAGAATCATAATTACAGAAATATGTATAATCACTAAAATGTATTTTCATTTCACCCCCAATATTACCTGTTATTAACAAATTGCTGGTTAACCTATAGATTATATTTCATCTTCCCTCTGAGCTGGGCTGCTAATGGAAGCAAGAAATTACATTCAAGTTTAATTTAAAAGCTTCTCTGGAAAATCTATCTGACGAATCAAATTTTTAAAAAAGCATAACCTGCTATTTTGGTTCAAGATGTGTGCCCTGAGAATATCAAAGCATCTAATCTGAACTCAGAGTTTATCCTGAGTCTAAGACTAGGAGGTAATCTGAACTCAGAGTTTATCCTGAGTCTAAGACTAGGAGGAAAGAAAGAAAGAAAGAAAGAAAGAAAGAAAGAAAGAAAGAAAGAAAGAAAGAAAGAAAGAAAGAAAGAAAGAAAGAAAGAACTAAAGAAGGAAAGAAAGAAGGGAAGAAAGAAAGAAGGGAGGGAGGGAGGGAGAGAGGGAGGGAGGGAGGGAGGATTAGTTCAATTGACCATAATGTCTTGCACTTTTAGGAGATGCTCTGGGATGCGTTTCTTCAGGCCTGGGCCCCAGCCAGTCCAGCAGGTTGGGCAGTGACGGTGTGTGCTCTGAGAAGGCAAGTGAGCTCAGACTTTCTGCCCCTTCCAGCTCCCCCTCCTCCATGTAGATGTGAGGCAGGGACCCGGGGTCTGCGGCCAGCGCATGGAGCCCACAGAGCTTCTGGAGAAAAGCCAGGGAAAGAGGAGGTGAAGGCCAGGTTCTTCCCCACAGGGCTCGTTCCTGCAGCTCCATGAGGGACGCCTCCGCTCCAGGTTATGAGGATACGGTGGGCCGCCCCTCTGTCCCCAGCCATAACAGACGGGGGCTACGGACTCAGCGGTGGCAGCCAACTGAGGGGAAGGAGCACCGTCACACTTTCCAGCTAAGTCCTGGGAGGACGTATGACGGCCTTCGGCAGTGCTGGCCCTCTCGTAAATTTATTTTTGGGGTTCATCTCTCCACCACCTGTGCCCTGACACCTGCTGTCCCTTCCCAAATGACCATCCCCACCTGGTAGCCTCCACTCAGCAAACTCCAGCTCCTACAGGCCCATGCCATCGCTCTGTGAAGACTTTCCTGCGTTTTTCTGGTCTGAGTGACTCCATAAACGTTTGTTGGGTGGATGGACCGATGGCCGAGGTTAAAGGGCTTCCCCCCGTGTACCTTCAGACACCTCTGGGAGGGGCTGGTGCAAATCTGAGCCAGTTACCGCACCTCAGGGGCAATGGGTCAGCAAGAACCTCTGACCATCACTAGCTAACAGTGGCCCCTGAGGGGTGAGCTCACCCAGGGCCTGAAGACGCTCAGAATCAAACATCTCAGAGCTGGAGGAGGCAGGCGGTGGGGCAAGGCCTGGAAAGAGGAAGCCGAGAAGCCCCGGAGCCCACGGAGCTCTCAGCCATGCCCTCCCCTCGATCGGCTGCCGGCTGTCCCCACCTTCCGCTGGCTGCAGGAGCCACTCCGAGGCTCCCTGTTAACTGGAAACACCATGGCCTGCGGATACTGGTGCCCACAGGCGAACATGGGAACCTCCCCCTGCGTCTGCCGTTGCCTGTTCCACTCATTCGGGGACTGAGGCCACTGCAGCATGTACCCGAGGGGGTGGGGCAGGAGAGGCAGCTCTGGCCAGTGGCCAGCGGGTGCCCGCATCCCGGCCCATCCTTGGTGCAGCGAGTGGATCATTAATGATGAGGCTCCGTACAGAGCCAGACACGCCGCAGCGGCTGTGCCGGGCAGATCCCAGCTCAGCATCCTGGCTGATGACAGTGCTGGTTTCTGCACCGAGTCAGCAATTTTAGAATCTCCCTAAGATCAATAATTCATCATAAACTTCCAACGAAGTAGAAAGCTCCCAAGGGGAAGACCAGGCCTCTCCTCTGCTCTGAGGCCCAGCAAATGCCGGCCCTGCCTGCGGCAGCCTCTCCTTCCCTGGGCGGGCCCCGCTCCTGAGCCACCAGGCCCACCAGGCTCAGCTGTATGGGGGTGCACAGGCGGGAGGAGGGGCAACCCAGATGCCGTGTGACAATGACATGCTGTGCTTATGCGACTACCTCACACCCGTGTGCACAGAATCGCCCCTGATGCGGGGGGCTGTCCCCACCTTCCTTTACAGATGGAAGCTGGGGACCAGGGTCTGCCCGACGCTGCAGCGGGATCAGGCAGGCAGGTCTGCAGGGCCCGGGCTCTCTGGGTTCAGGGTTGCTTCTGGACTTGGGGACAGTGGTTTTTTGAGCAGCCACTCAGCACTGTCCACTCTGCAGGTCTTGGGAGCAGGTGCGCGGAGGGACCAAGTCCACATTGACCTCAGGGTTGTCACTGAGGCACAGAGCCCCACCCCCCACCCCCAGGCACCGGGACAGGCCCAGGAGGAAGTGACATGGGGGCTCTCTACCCCGCCACCATCTGCATCTCACTCCCTCCAGCTGTACCACCTGCCACCTGTCTGCCGCCCACTCTGACAGCCATGGGAAGGGTCATTAGATTTCACAAAACGAGGTCCCAGGACCTCAGGTCAGACACTCCGCTGAGCACCCAGACCCACAAATGCAGGGTCTGCAGAGTTGGGGCCTGGGAGCCATGCTCTTGAACAAGCTCCCCAAGTGCCCACACCCGGGAGCCCGGGCCCCTGCATTTGACCCCATTTCTACAACGCTCTATGTCTGTGACCTTGGACATGTCACCTAATTTCTCTGTCCCCGGTTTCCACCTTTTATAGGTGAGGAAAAGGATAGCTCCAGCCCAGGCGGGCTGATGTGAAGACTGAACGAGTTAGTATCTTTCAATCCCTTAGAGGTGCGCTTGTCAACTAAGTCAGTCTCGGCAGATGGGCCCACTAACCTTGACGTATTCCTCTGCACTTCCACTACCACGGGGCTGAGCCCCAGCTTTCCTGCAACAACACATGGAGCCCCTGGGAGTCAGAAGTCGCATCTGCTGCTTCTGTGTGCTCCCCGCCATCCCCGAGTGGGGAGCGCACAGAGCTCACCCTCAGTGACACGGTTCTCCTCAGGCTCCTCCTGCTGGAATCAGCCATGGCTTTGCCCAACTGCCCAACTGCCTGTGCTGAGGAGCTTCCAGGAGAGAGCTAATGTTGTCACCAACAATCCTTAAGCCTCGTCAACCACGTGGTTCATGATTCCCCAGAAAGAGACCTTTCACTCTTGTCTTGGGTCGTGTTCTGCGGAAATAGCCTCTGGAACTCGATCCCATGAAAGTGCTTGCCCTGGACCAAAGCGTGCCTCCCAAAGTCCTACACTGAAGCCCCGCCCACCCTGGGATGGTATTTGGAGGTGGGGCCTTTGGGAGATAATTAGGTGTAGATGAGGTCATGAGGGTGGGGTCCTTGTGATAGGATTAGTGCCCCTTAAGAAGAGACGGGTGTCTCTCTGCCGTGTGAGGACACAGCAAGAAAGTGATCATCTGTGGAGCAGGAAAACTCTTACAGCACCCGCCCCTGCTGGCCCCCGATCTCAGGCCCCAGGCCCAGGACTGTGAGAAGCAGGCCTGTGTAAGCCTCGGTCTGTTGTGGCTGCAGCCCCAGCTGACAGCAACAGCAGTTTAGGGGAAGCACCCCCAGCTGGGCCCGGATGGGGACGCCGACACGGGGAAGCCTCTACCTGATGCAGGATCTCCGCCATCACTCCCGCCCTCACTTCCAGGGGTTGTCTGGGCACCTCGGTACCCAGGTAAACCTGTAAAGCAAAGGGGCAGAGCCTTAACCCCTCTGATGAGGAGCCCTCCTCGAACTCCCCATCAACGGCCTCTGCTGGCCAGAAGATGGGGGCACCATCCAGGTGGAGGGTGGTCAGACCTCTCCTTGAGGGAGAGTAGGATCGAGGGCAGCTTGGTCACACGTCACCTGCGTGTGGTGGAAGAGAGAGGAGGAGACCCTGCAAGCACATCACTAGAAATCCTTACAATCACATTGCCTTTTCTTTCTGCACAAAATATATGGAAGTTATAAAGATCGTGTAGGTCGTCCTGGCAAAGATCCATGGGCAAGCTTGACAGTTGTTTTATGGGGATGGAGCATGGGCATGTGATTTGCAAGCCCTGTTTTGGGTCCACAAAAGCTTAGTAAGACTCCTTGTGTGCCATGGGCATGGTCTCAGCATTTGTGAATGAGGCACATCCACCCCTAGGGCCCAAGATCAGCTACATAATTTGCAGGGCCCAGTACAAAATGAGAATGTGGGGCCCATTGTTCCAATATTAACAAGTTCAAGATAATGACAGTAGAGCATTAAACCAAGCACAGGTTCCTTCTGAGTTCAGGGCCTGTGCTACTGACCAGGTTCCATGCCCAGAACACTGGTCCCACCAGGACCAGAGGGACACACCTCTCAATGCACAACCCTTGAAGGGTGGGTTAGTGGCATCATCTCTGTGCAAAACAGAACAGTACATTTCTATCTTAGCTCAAACACAGGCTGAGAAATGATAATGAACTTATAGAGGTCTTGAATTCTTTCCATCATAAAAACTGTGAATACCTCTTTTAGTTTTTGTCAGAAAAAGTACTTTTTCTGTTAATATAATAGCTAGATACACTAGTGAAGTTGGAGGTCTGTGTTTGAGACCTGCATTAAGAGTGTGGTACCCAAGTCAGCAATCTGGGTTTGGTAATGTACTGTGGTTATGTGAGAGGCCTCCCTGTGGGCAGGTTGCACAGGAACTCTCTGGACTGTGTTTTTAAGTTCTTGTGAGTCTGAAAATTATTTCAGAAAAATCATTTTACAAAGAAAAACAATCGTTCTAGAATTTGTACATAGACTACGTAAGGACATGGGGCTGGGGGACTCAGGGCTCATTTTGGCAGGAGGTGTGAAGTCACTGGGCTAGACTTGGGTCAGGCTCAAAGCCATGAGCTCTGACTCTTAGAGATGATCCCTGGCGCCCTTGGGTGGACACAAGAAAACGTACTCATTTGTGGGTGTCCTAAAAGGTGCCACATTGGATCAGGACTACCAAATAACTCTTAACAATCAACGATGACAATAGCTAGTTAGATAGATGAGAAGGTCTTAGCTGACTATGTGTTCATTCCACCAGTATCACAGAATCTTCTAGAAAGGCCGCTTATAAGGGAACAGTCAATCATTAGTGAGGTGACCACAGCAGGGAGTGAACTTCTGTAACACACTGGAGTCTCAGGACAAAGTGTGCTTGGTCTGATGCATGTGCTGGAGGTGGCAGCACTTCATTTGTATCCTAGGGGGGAAACGACGGTTTACCCAAAAGACAATGCATTTCCCTCCAGTTGGAAACAAAGCAGCTGTGTGTGTCCTTCAGCATGCTACGGCCCGCGGGCCGGATCCAGCACATTTGAAATGAATAAAACTAAAAAAAAAAAAAAAAGACCGTACCCTTTTATGTAATGATGTTTACTTTGAATTTATATTAGTTCACACAAACACTCCATCCATGCTTTTGTTCCGGCCCTCCGGTCCAGTTTAAGAACCCATTGTGGCCCTCGAGTCAAAAAGTTTGCCCACCCCTGGTCTAGAAGGGGACAGACAAATGAAACTGTTTCAGTTTAGGGATGTGAGGCTTTTGCTTGAGGTTTCTATTATTTTCATAGAGGCCCTTCAATAATGAAATAAAATTTCAAAGAAAATAAAGCAGGCAATGGACCCTAGCAATGGTGTTATCTAAGATAGTTTGTGCTTTGCAGCCGATTATAAGGTGCCAGGTTGCCCAATAAATCATAAGGACAATGTAATTTAGGGAAGGTATGTGAATGCTATTTATTTAACCTGTCACCACAGGTGCAAATACTATTTGCAGGACTCCATGAAGGAAACCCAGGGACACATCAAGAAATGGAAGGCACAGGCCTTTGTTTCCTCCTCTGTAAATGGAGAAACGAGGTGTCCTCCCCGACAGGTTCTGGTAAAAATTCTGCAGATTTGAGCTTGTAGAGTGCACACGAGGGCATGGTCGGCAAATCAGAGCAAGTACTGTGCTATAGGGCAGCTGCTGGCCTCGGGATGCGTGCGGATGGTTAAAGAGAAAGGAGAGAAGACCACCACCAGCCTAGATGACGCCTGTGCATGGATGAGGAAGGGCAGCCCTGCTCACCCCTAGCCAAGCACCTGCCCCATCATTTGTGGCAGCCCTGCACTCATGTGCTGTTCCACGGGCAGGATCATCCGCCACTTAGAGAGAGTTTGGAGACAGGGTTTTAAGTGACATGGACTCTTCTGGTGAGAATATAATTCCCTTTCCAATTCTGCATCCATTCTCCTAGGGGTGTCAAGAGAAAGTCTCTGTTTGGGGCCAGCATGGATTTGATGCCTCCCTTTTCACAGAGAGAGACCCTTTGGCGGGCAGCATTTTCTACCTGGAATTATTGGCTCCTATTCCTATTGCACCTATTTTCCACTCCACAAAGAAAAAAAAAAACTGGGTTTTCATTGACAATTGAATCATACCAGTTCCTATCTACAAGAAATGTACTTTATTTGGACACCAGTCCATTTAACGAAAAATATTTAAAAGTACACTAGTACAAGCAGCAGAAGCACGTGGGCAGGAGTGGAGTGGCCTTGCGGTGGGGAGCGACTGCACTCGGGTGGGAGAACAGCCAGGCAGTTCCTGCCACGGAAACCATCTGCAGAGCCACCTTAAACCCAAACAGCCCAGCAGCCACGCTTACCTTAGCACCCAGCAAGGCGCCTTCCTCCGCTATGTGGGTGGGCAGGGCTGGCTTCTGATTCCTGACCTCTGACCCAACCTGTGAGACACAGGGCTGAAACCAATGATGGCAAGCACAAGGCACAAAGCAAGGAGTAACATCTCCCCCAACACGAGCAGAGGCCATCCCAGAAAACATCCAATGGCTGTCCTGCAGATAAAGTGCAGTCATTTAGGGAAGGGGCTCCTGTAACTGATGGTGGGGAAGTGGGGTTTCTGGTTCAGTGTTTCACGTTAAGCGATGCTAGAAACCCTCCTTTCAACAGCGTCTCGTTATGTACAAGGTAGTCCTCTGAGGCTTGCGACGATGGCTCTGGCCATGCAGTATGCACCATCTCCTTCATTCCTCATCCAACAACTACTCCCTGAGGGGCTCAGATGTGGACGGCGGCTGCATTTCTCTCCTGAGAGCTCACCTGCTTCCCCTTAGAGATGGGAAGCATCTACGCAATCTTACAGACCTTCCTCATGCGCGTCCAGAGGCCAATGGAGACCCTGACCAGGTGGGAATCAGGCGGGCCTGTGTTGGTGGGAGAACCGGTAGAGGAACTCTATCATAACAACGGCCCGCACCTTTGCTTCCACGTCCTCTCCCTCCTTCTCCGTCTCAGGGCCTCATAGGCAAGGCTCGCCAGGTCTGCGCTGTGGGGTCCTAATCCTTTCTTTTTCCTTTTTCGTTTTTCCTGATGGAATACATGACCAACTTTTGTTTGTGGTCGACAGTGGGTGGAATCAACGGTAGGCATCTCGGATGAGGTGAGTCCTCCCAGGAGCACAGAAGGCCCCAGGTGAGTGTGCGCAGGTGTAGGCAGGTGCATTCAGGTGAGATGATCGTGGAGAAGCGTGCACTCATGGAGATGTAACCAGTGGTTACAAAGACATAATTAGTAATTGCTGTCAGTAAGTCTAATATTGGCAGTCACTGTTGATTGCGTGTCTGCCAATACCCTAGTCTGTGCTAAAAACTTCACATGTGTATTTTGGTTAAATTGTCCAATAAATTTAAGTCAGAGAGAACATTATTAATCTAACTTTATATGTGCAAGTCGGGGGTCACTTAGATTATGTATCCACAGTTTTGTGATCTAAACCCAGGTTTGCTGTGTGCCATGTTCTCAGAGCCCTGAGGGTACCTTGGCAGAAATGGGGCATAAAGCCAATGTTAATCAGAGGACACCTGAGCTGAGAGTTAGAGACGAGAGGGAGGATGTCGTGGGACTAGACGAGGACAGAGAACCCTTGTCCTGCATGCGCTCCTCCCTCCGACAGCTGATACTTGACCAGTGCCCTTGGCCACCAGACTCCCTCCGCCTGCCTGGCCTCGGCGCTGCGATGACAAGCTGCACACGCCCTGCTTCTGTAGCTGCTTCCTCTTTCCAGGAAAGCACCACCGAGCCGCTGGCCAACAGGAACAGCATCAGGGCACCACCATTACCCCTTCCCCCTGAACGGTGTCGGCAGCCAGTGCGTGGGGAGGCCACTTCCCCCAACTCCTCCAAGCTCAGCAGCCCCAGCTCCACCCCACCAAGCAGGAGACTAAGCACAGCCCGGGCGGGCGGGAGCCATTTCCATTGTCCTGGAGGGTTGCCCTTCAGAGCAGAGTGGAACTGCCCGAGGCAGGCAGGGTGGTTTCTCTGTTACACAAAGCACTGCGGGTTGTCAAGACAGTTTCCTTCTTCAAATGACACAAACTGGGGAACTGCTGCTCTTATTGCTGGGGGGGGGAGGGGGACCCAGCTACATGGAGGGGTTGGATCATGTTCCCTGCCGTCTCCTCTCTGTAGCAGGAAGGGCTCAGTGGGCCTGTGTGGAGGCACAGGCGTGTACATACATCTGCAGCGTGACCCAAGGCTGTTACTCTCCCTGGCTTCATGCCAGTAGGGAAGAGAACGCGGGGAAGAATCCAAGGAGTCTTGGCGGACCACCAGCTTCTCCCACCCCAGTCACTTTGCGGAGTGTCTCCCTATTTACTCGCACGTGAAGCCAACATCAATGAGCAGGTCTTTTCCCAAGAGCATGTCGTGTTGCAACCGGTCTCCTCCCAGGAGAACACCGTGGGTGAGGTCTAAGACCAAGAAGGTGGGCCCCCTGCGGCCGCTGTGAGCGAGAGGTGCTGCCTTTTGACATTTGGCTCTTATTTTTGAGATCAGCCACCTTAGTTCTTAATGAAGACAGACAGGGGCGTTCACAGTGCTTTCATCTCATGGCCAACTCCAGCCCAGGGTGGCTGTGAGGAAACTGAGATATGGCAGGGCTGGTGTCAGGGCGACTGTGGGTGCTTCCAGGGCATGGTCTTCTTTGATCCCCAAGAAATCCGTGGAGTTGATTTTTACCCTGATTCACAGAGGAGGGTGTGGGGTTAAGTGATGTGCTCAATGTGGAGAAACTAATAAGATGCACAGCCCGGGTCTTGTCCCTTTAAGGCCAGCAAGCTGTGCTCAGCCTCTGCCCTTGAGGAAGGGGGGCGGCTCTGCCTTACTTCAGGCCACAGCCGAGAAGCTGTGGACTCATTTGATTAGTAAGCCCCGCACACTGTCCATTGAGAAAACCACCTGGTCAAACCATTTTCTCCTAAACAAGGTTTCTCAACCTCGGCACTGCAGACACTGGGCCACATACTGCTCTGTTGCGGGCCAAGCTGGGCGCTGGAGGGTGTTTAGCAGTATCCCTGGGCTCCACCTACTAGGTACCAAAAGCATCCTCCCCACCCCCAAGCCGAGTGTGACCATCAAAATTATCTCCAGACGTTGCCAAATGTCCCCTGGGAGGCAAAACCACCCCCCATTGAGAAACAGGGACCTAAAACAATACATCAATTTAGTTAAGTTGGACAACATTGGGGTTGTTTCCCCTTTTGCTACTCAAATTAGAGTGAAGATGGGAGAGGCGGGCACAGTGAGTGGGAAAATAGGTAGATTTATTATCGACGTCATTGTCACGAAACACAAAGTGCTGTTTCCTTACCTGGCCTGCGATGGCTCTGCTCTCGTCATTGTACGTGATCAGGGTCTGCTGGCCCTCTTGGTGCAGGGCGGGGCATCGGTGCCTCTTGGCTCCAGACACACAATCGCATCGCAGCAGGAGAAGCAGAGCAACTGCAATGAGACAAAGGGGAGTGAGTTAAACAAGCCCGTCTGTATCAGAGGCTTCACCGGGGCCGTCTGTTAACTTGTACCTCAGTCGTGAATGACAGGGTCATGAATGACAGGGTCGGATGTGCCTTAATCATCTTAGTAACTGCAGAGCTTTGCACAGCCTGGGGCACAGGTGCTAGGTAACTGTTTGTTGACTTGGTTGACTAATGCCATGTAACCAGAAATATGGTGTTTATTTGAAAATCTAGTTTCCTTATTTGCCTTCCCCAAGCCCAGGAGCCCAGAAGCCCAGACAGACATCTGTGTATTGCTGCCCCGTTTACAAACCTCGGGTCGCCCTGTGGCTCCTCTGCTGTAGACTGCTGCTCACTGAACAGAAGCTGCTTTTGCCAGACAGACAGCATGTCTGACCAGGTCAGCCACCTTTGATCTGAGCCTGGGACTCGATGAGCCTCCAGGTCATTCTCCCAGCATCCCACTGCTGTCTGCCATCACCTGCTCCCCACCCCAGAGGGCTCCATTCTCCCGGCTCACAGCCTGGACCGCTGACCTGCCAGAGCCAGGAACACCACGCAGAGAGGAGCAAGGACCCCCACAGGGAGCTCTGGTCCGGCAGCTAATGGCTCCGCCGCACACGTGGCTCCGCCAGGACAGGAACAGACCCTCACGTGGACAGTCTGCTTCTGGGAAAGGCCCTGTCCGTCTCCGATGGAAAGCGGCACTGAGTAATCGCCAGGAGGCAGGCTTCTCAGCATTAAAAGTTCAACCGACCGACCTGCAAGGGAAGGGGGTCATGAATGCAGGGACTCCCACGTTTTTCAGCTGCTCCACAGATGTTTACAAAAGCCTCCAGGAGCCAGGGCTCTATACGGGAGTTAGCCAGATGCAGAGTTAGAGGGGCCGTTGCCAACACCACCCTCACTTCCAACAGCAGCTGCAAATTCAGGGCTCGCATGCCGGCCAGCCCAGGGCAGAAGCACGCAGGGCAGAGCCGAGAGACGTGGAGCGAGGACACCAATGAGTGACCGTTGTCAACCAGGGAAGCCCCCGAGCCTGGCATCCTGAGTCTCCATTGGCCTCGGTCGTATAAGCCTGGTTGGCTGTCCATGTGACACAAAGCCCCACCTGAGACACACTGTTCTGTTGACTGACACAAACCCCCAGGCAAACCCTCTTATCGGGCAGGACATTCCCAGGGCTTGAGGATGCGCTCCCAGGAGCAAGGCCAGGCCAGACCTCTTGTGGGGAGAGGTGCAGGGCTCTGCCACACACTGGGTCAGGGAACTGTACAGGGGAACTCAACTGAAAAAGCAAGCTCCGCTCCACAGGTCCATTCATAAAGCACAGAGGAGGGTGCTGTGGGCAGATGCCATTGGTTCCTCCTGGTAAGAGCATCCCTGTTCCCCTTTGGAGAAGCCCACATGCCTGAGCCCCAGCCCCTGTGAGTCAGGAGAGGCTAAGGCCTGATCCCAGCCCGCTCCAGGTGTGGGCTCAGGACCAGCCAGAAAGCGGGCTCCTCCCCACTGTGACCCACAGTGATCGGCAGTACAGGTGACCCATGCCATGCGGGGAGGTAAGTGCTCTCGCCAGGTGCTGGCATGAGCCTCCAGGACTCCTGGGGCCACCCGTCGGCCCCCAGAGGAGAACCTTCCGAAGTGAAGGGACCCAGAGAGCAGCCGTGCCGAGGGAGGGACGGGCAGCGCCAGGGACGGCTCGAGTACCTGGACATGGCCCAGCGGGGACACAGGCTGCTGGCCCTCAGTCACAGAAGCCAGGAATCCCTTTGGGCCCAATTCTGAGTCCGGTTTCTGTCACCGCCGTCCTTTACCCGTGGCCCGTGCACTCACCCCGATTTTCCCCCAGTTTCCACGTGACTCGTGCATGTCCTGCGTGGTGTCCAGTTCAAAAGTAAACGGGTCCGAGGAGGGCTCCAAGTCGCCGTCCTCGGCCTCAATGAGGAGGGGCTCGGGCTCCGAGGACTCGCAGACCTCCAGGTACCGAGAGTGCGGGTGCAGACTCGGGGCGTTGGCATTGATGTCAGACAGGAGGAGCATCAGGGTCCCCGTCCCCGTCTGCGGCGGGTGGCCTGTGGGTTCCAGAAGGGTTGCTTATCAATTAAAGAGCCGGCAGTGCCCACAGTCCCTGGCAAAGGAGAACGCAGCCTCCAAGGGAAAGAGCTGCCCCGCAGAGCTACCGAAGCCGTTCCCTCTCCTCACGGAGGCTGGTTGGAAGCAGACTTACTATTTTCCCAACCAGCACCTGCTGATCAGTTATTCCAAACACGATGCACAGCTACGCACCCCTCAGAACTGGGGTGTGAATTCACAGATGCCCTAAATACAAGTCCTGAGGTACTTGGAAGTTGCTTTTTATTCAGCTTCACGTCCTGGCAGGTTTAAAACCTCAGCCTTGGGGGGTCACAGAGAGAAGTGTTGAAACACACTCTCAAAACCAACTCTGGGTTCACAACACAGCGGTGAAAGGTTTGCCTTTTCCCCATTTGTGCTGAGACCTCCCCGTGTTGTTTTCCCTCAGGAGCAAGGACACACTTCCCCCTGGTTTTGGGTGAGCACTTACCCTCATCAACAGCATGTGCGATGACGACATACACGCCGTTGTTCACGTGCGGGGACTCTCGGTCCAGCCGCCGCCTGGTGACAACCACTCCCGAGCGCTCGTCCACGGTGACCCAGCTTGCAGGATCGTGAGCCAGCTCATACCTCAAGGAAGGAGACGCGTGACATCTCTAAAACTGCAGCTATGTCAGAAGTCAACTCCCGTACCTCACGCCGACACCAGTCCTATCACAAGCCACGTGGGGGTTCTGAGGACCGTGACGTGGGGGCTGGGTCGGCACTCGCTGGGGATGGAGTGTGGGGTCCGCCTCAGGGAAAAGTCGATGCCTGCTAAGCAGTACCTCCGCGTCCTCCCACCCGCCCCTGCAGCCACCATCTGCTTCCTCTCTTTACGATTTGCTCCCTGACGTGGGCTGTGGCGAGCACCTCCTCTAAGGGGCATCACACAGCGTTTGTCTTTTCGTGACTGGCTTATGTCACTTACGTCGTCGTCAATTATTCACAAAATGTGGACGCTGTCTAGTGTCCATCAGGCAACAGGTGAGTGGATAAGTGGAATGTCTATCCGTGAAGTGGATACAGGGTGAGGCAAAAGCAGGTCTACAGTTGTTCATACGGAAAGTGAGACGATAATTCATAAGTAATAATCATGCAAGAATAAACTCTGTGTACTCACAACCGTAAGCCTGCTTTTGCCCACTCTGCATTGTTCAGCCTTCAAAAGAAAGGAGACCTGCCTCATGCTGCATCATGGGCAACCCGAGGGCATCGGGCACATCACATGAGCCAATCACAAAAGGGCAAGCTCGGTGGGGGTCGTCAGATTCATGGAAACAGAGTGGAGTGGTGGGGGCAGGGGCTGGGGGGGTGGGGAGAGAATGGGGGTTATTTTTAATGGGGACAGCGTTCCAGTTTTACAAGATGAGAGGAATTCTGGGATGGGTGTGGTGATGGTCATACAACACTGTGAATGTGCTCAATGCCACTGAACTGTCACTGGACAGCAGTTGAAATGGTCAACCTTATGTCACATACATTTTACCACAGTTTCTAAAAAACAACACTCTGTTGTCCACAAGCCAGAGGCCGGCCAATTCACACCCTTTGGTAAAGAGGGGGACAGAAACACAGGAGCAATTATTCTAAGACAAGAAAAGGACTATAAAAGAGTATATTCTAGCCCTGGCCAGCATGTCTCAGTGGTCAAGGGCACGTACCTGGGTTGCAGGTTTGTTCCCAGGCCCCAGTCAAGGCAAGTGCAGGAGGCAACCAGTCAATTGTGTCTCACATCGATGTTTCCCACCCCAGCATCGCACCAGAGAAACTGGTTTTCCGACAGGACTGTTCCCAGCTGCGTGGCTGTTCTGCTTCAACAGCCTCCTTTCTCCTTCCTCTTCTCACCTTATCTGGCTGCCGCTTCCGTCTGGGTCTGTAGCGTTAAACCTTCCCAAGCGCGTCCCGGGCCTGGCGCCTTCGACCTCGCTAACGACGAAGCTCCTGGGGTGGAAGGCTGGCGGGTCGTTGGCGTCTGTCACCTGCACGAGCACCATGGCGCTGACTGCAGTCTTCCTCCTGGGCTTCTGCAGCTCGCCGGCCTCGCAGGGGACCAGCAGCTCCTCGTTTTCCACGGCAATGACCAGGCTGCACGCGGGATGCGTTTCGTAATCCAAAGCCTGCAGCCGGCAGAGAGGGTCCCGTTAGCTAGCACCTGCTGCTCCTCACTCAGCCAGGGGCCCTGGGGAGCTCTGGCTCTGCACGCCACTTACTAGTTACCTTGTCTTTGATAGTGATCAAGACAGTCGTCAGCTCACTGTCAGATCATTTATGCAGTTCCTCCCCCGCCCCATGCTGGTTGGAAAGAGCCACCATCCGTCAGTGGGTAATGAAAAATACAACAAAAACTGTAACCTAATGAAACATTAATGTGACAAGCCTGGTGCAAAATCAATCAGCAGGCCTGGAGGGAATATGCATATTAATGACCATAGTTATTCAGGGTACAAGGTGGTCAGTGACTTAAAGGACTGAGAGCCTGGGGTAAGTAGGCAGTCCAGCCCGGGCGTGTGGTGTCTCACCTGGGAGCCTGTCACACTGACAGCAGGAGGTCAGGCTCTAGCCCCAACCCCACCCAGCCTGACCCCCGGGGGGCTCACCTGCCCTGTGCCAGAGGCACTGGTCACGCTGGGGTCCAGCTGAGAGCGATTCAGACTAAAGGCCTGGAGTCAGACTGCTCCAGCAGGACCCTCCTCTAGCTGTGTGACTTCCCAAGAACAGCCCAACCTCTCTGGGCTCTGGTGTCCTTGTCAGTAGAGACAATGACACTTCACTGCAGGGCCAGCTCTCTGTTAGGCACAGCAGGCCGCGTGGCAGCGCCTCCGACGCTCTCAGGGGCTTGAGGAAATGTTCTTATTCATTTAGACTCAGAAGGAAACACATGAACTCAGGGCTCGAGAAAATGTTTCAGATATTTTTACCAGAAAGAAAACATATAAGGCCTGTGTAAGTCTATTAAATTTTGCCTAAAAATTTTAAATGTCAAAGTCTTAAAGTTTTATCAAAAATAACTTTTAATATGGATATTAATTTGGCAGGAGGAGCCGGGAAGGCAAAGGCCCACTTCAGAAGGCCTGGGCCAGCCGGGCCCCTCGAAGGGTGCCTCAAGGGCTCCAGACACTGCAAGGTCCTGAGACCAGCTCCCGCTCAGCACACTTTGGCCCCCGGCCCGTGTGTGTTCTGTGCAGCTTTACCTTGATAACATTTAGTATCCCTTCGTTGGTCTCAGGGTCAGTCGAAATGTCAAAATGTCCCTCTTCGTTGCCATTGGATATGTTGAACTTTGCCCTCCAAGCTGACGTGAATGGCGAGTCATCGTCCTGGACCGGGAGACGCAGCACGTCCGGGCTGACTCGGCCTTCGGGAACCTGAATCTTGTACTGAGAGAGGCAGTCACCATTCCATGTCACGGAGGTGAAGAAACACAATTGAAAAAGAAAGCAGGAAAGGAGATGTCAGCCCTCACACTACAGTCTGGATGTTTCTCTTGCTGTTGAACTTAACCTCAAGGGATTTGAAACTGCCTGATGCAGCCAAAGAGCGTGGATAACAAGCAGCTCGCCCTCCTCCTGTGCCTGGTCCTCCTTCCGATGCAGCGAAGGCGCTTTGCAAGTGCACACTCTTCAGCCCAGCGCACGCACCACTTGTCTAAGAATTTTTAAAATGACAACACATCCCAGTTTATGCTGCCCCCAAATCCTGGCTCTCTCCTAAAACAGAACTCCTTGGTTAAGTAGGTCCTTTCTAACGCAGACCTTGGAGTAATTGCTATTTAACACTTCCGGGACAAGAAACTGCTGCAGGCGAGCCCACCCCAATGCCAGGGTTTGTTGCTGCAGCCTTACTTTTGAAAGCACAGCTTCCACCAAGCCAGAGAAGAACTTGGAAGCAAGGCTCACACGTGAGCAATATGATTTTTCCGTTTTTCTGTACTATTTGGTGAGGTGCTTTCATTAAAAACATGTCAGCCCTAGTTCATACAATTTTTAAAAATTTTTAAGTGGCATGTTTTTAAAGTTAATTTGTAGCATTTTTTCTGTACCAGATTCTGTTTTAGGTGCCCTGAGCAAGATGAACAAAAACCCCATCCCCAGGGAACGGATGATTAGGGGAGGGGGGTTCCTTGGGGGTGCAGGTGGGGGCTGGGAAAGAGGCCAGAAGAAAAATAGAGATACAATGGACATTTTCCTTTAAAAATTCATATGGAAGAGTAAGAAATGGGGATGAAAGGCAAGCAGATGCCGGTAGTTATCACTTCTCTCCTGGCGTCCCGTCTGCCGTGGTGCGGCATTTCCACAGGGGCCAGCCTGGGGACTGTGTCGCATGTGACATTCTACAGGGAGCACCAGTGATAAACCAGGTGACTGAGGCCGGGCTTAGCACACCTGCCCGTCTTCCTTCTACAGCCTGAACACGTGGGGAAAGCCCAGGTTTAGACTTCTCACCGGGGCAGTTCTCCCCTCCAGGGGACAGGTGACAATATCTGCAGACATTTTTGGTTCCCATGACTTGGGGGGGACTGCTGGCATCTAGTGGGTAGAGGGCAGGGTTGCTGCTAAACATCCCACAATACACTGGGCAGCCTCCTCCCCCCAATGAAAACTTCCCACCTCCAAATGTCAATAGTGTGGAGCTTGGGAAACTCTGGGGTACAGTGAGTGTGGCGTCTCTAACCTCGCTGGAGGCCTCGGTGTCTGCATGTGTGGAGCAGAAATCACGGGTAGTTCCAGCAATTAAGAATGAAATTATGCACGAAAAAGTTCTGAGCAGTTTCTCACACAAAGTAGTAAAACATGCCAGCTCATTTGACTAAATCAAACGAGTCTCTAATCACGTGGTCATTTCTCGACTCTAGTTTCCGTTACTTTGGAGAACTACAGGATGCAGGGTGATATGGGGACTCCCTCAGGGACTGAGCCTAGGACTCGGGCCGTCATGTTGGGACTGGGACCGGGGGCAGCCGGGTCTTACATTCTCCTGGATGAACGTGGGCCTGTGGTTGTTGCCTTCCTGCACGCTGATGTGAACCGTGGCCGTGGCCGACAGCGGTGGCTCCCCGCAGTCCCTCGCTCTGATTAGTAGAGTAAACCGAGGAGCAGTCTATATGGGGAGGAAAGGGAAGTCAAGCTCCGATGCGGGAAAGGGGATGGATGTCAATAAAGGAACATCCCATTTTAGAATTTCAGTAGCAAGCCAGCCTGAGGGTTTCCCAGTGCCACATCAATCCTGTGCCCAGGGTCAGAGACACAGGCATTTCATTGTTTTAAAATAAAATCCACATAACCTCATAATCTAAGCATCCCAAGAGTCGGATTTCTCCACTATCACGGTCGATCTCGAAGCCACTTTCCTTCAGTAATGGCTTTTGTGAAACGAGGAAGTAAAGGACTCGAGAATTTGGAGTATTTTCTTCATCCAAATCAACCGTTAACAGCTGAAGAACAGGCTGACCTGGAAGAATTTTTAAATTGTTACTATTGGCCAAAGGCAGCCTATCGGAACGGTAGGAAGGTGACACTTTGCTGACTGGCATTGGGGCATGCACCAGAATAGCTGAAATATTTGCATATAAAATCAAACTGTAGGAGGAGCAGACAAAACAAAAAGGGGTATTCACATCATCATATGACCATGATTGCAAATGCAGAAGACTTAAAGGGCAGAATTGATAGATAGGCTTTTAACTGCATGGATGCAAAAGCTTCAGACAAAATTTAAAAAGAATGATAAACCAGAAGGACATATTTGAAATATACATGGAAGACATATACATTCTTTTTTAAAAAAAAATTTTTTTTATTGATTCCAGAGAGGAAGGGAGAGAAAGAGAGAGAAAGAAACATCAAAGATCAGAGAAAATCATTGATTGGCTGCCTCCTGCATGCCCCACACTAGGGATCGAGCCCACAACCCGGGCATGTGCCCTGACCAGGAATCGAATCTCAAATCCTGACCTCCTGGTTCATAGATCAATGCTCAACCACTGAACCATGCCAGCTGGGCGACATAGACATTCTTAAAACAGAATGAGGAGGTTAAAATCAAGAAGAAAAATGAGAAACACACTAATGGAAATGGACAAAGAAAGGAACAAGCAAGGGGAAGAAGAAATGGAAAGAGCCAAGAAGCTTACAAAGCATGCAAGCACCTAATGTGAACCATCCACTCCCACAGATGGTGTGGAGAAGTAAATTGGAACACAAACTGTGGGTGCATTTCCCACCACGTGAGAAATTACGGTGACATTCAGGAACTCACTGCCCAGCTCTGTCTTTCTCCCTCGTTGCATTTGGCTTTATTTTAGACTAGTGTCCCGGAGCACAGATTCATGCACATTAAAAGGAAATTAATTAGAAGAAATATTTTAGTATCGCTATGCACCCTTTCTCTATGATAGAAGTGTCAACGAAATTCACAATCAACAATGACAGATCGAAACATGCATGCGATTGGCACCAGCGAGAGTTTTATATGTTTCGCGAATGTGCAAGTCAACTTAGCCTTTTATAGATATAGAATAAATTTGCTTAATTAGACCTGCTTTCTGATTTAGCTATACTTTTTCCAGCCCAGTTAAGCACCCCAACTTCTCTTTCAGGTAATTGTCAGCAACACAGCAGTAAATATCAACACGAAGCAGATTATTATTATAGGTCACCCAGGGAGAACAAAGGGTAAAATATTTAACTGCAGCAGTGTTTGACTACATTCTGTGCAGTGAGAAAACCTGAAGTCATTTTCAGTGGCCACCATTTCTTACTTCTTTTCAGTTGGGTCAAGTTTCTAAACTTTCTAAATCTCCATTTTTGAAAAGAAACTTAGGATTCCACTGAGTCTCCTATCTACTTACTCCAGGACTTTTGTGAGGATCAAATGAGATGAGGCATGGGAAAACACTTCACAAACATTTGGTTAAAGTGTAAAATGTTTGCACCTGGCTATAAAGCAAGTTGTGCTCCTGGGCTGAAGAAACTCCAAGGAGGCTAATCGCTAGGGAGAGGAAGCTGGGTGTTGCTACATGACATCATTACCTGGTACCCACAGTGACCATTTCTGGGCTGGGCTAGGCTGTGGGCCACATTTTGCGTCATGGAGTCTTGGCAGCATTGGCTGCGATTTGGTTGGGTGTCACTCCGGGATGGTGGCGGGGAAGCCAAGTATTGGTTTGTTGGTGCCAGGCCATGGTGCCGTTTATTTTTAAATGGCCAGTGTGCATCATAGCAGCTCCTGTGTTGAGCATCTGCCCCCTGGTCATCAGTGAACATCATAGCTACTGGTTGGATGGACACTTAGCCTTTTATATATATTCTAGAATCCCAGTACACAAATTCGTGTACAGGTGGGGTCCCTCAGGGTGGCCTGGGGAGATCAGGCCCCAGCTCATGCCCCAGCTTTGCAGCCCCAGCTCGCGCCCCCAGGCTTGCAGCTCCACAACCCCGCCTTGCACCTCACCTTGGCCTGGTGCTGTCCCCTCACCTGCTCCACCATCCTGCCTGCAGGGCAATCTATTGGGGCCAGGCCCTCTATCCGGCTCCCTCAGTGCCAGGCGGTGGCCCTGCCGCTACCACTGGTCGCCATCTGCAGGGCAATCAGTGGGGCAATTGGGCCCCACTCACACCGGCCTTGGCCTGGCACTGCCCACTCACCTGCTCCACCATCCCACCGTGGTCCCACTCTCCTCAGGGCCCATCGGTGCCAGCAGCACCTCCACTGCTGCCTGCTGCCAGCGCCGCTTTGCCAACACCTGCCATGATCTGTGCCACCCCTTGGTGGTCAGCATATGTCATAGCGAGCAGTTGAACTCCCAGTCTCCAAACTCCAAGTTTCCGGGCCGAATGACCGCCCGAGGGGGCAATTGCATATTAAACTTTTATTATATAGGATATTCATATTTACATATTGACTCTTCCAGAGGACTCAACATTGCATTGCCAACAAAAACAGGCTGCAGACCTGAAGCATTCGCTCTGATCCAGAGCCTGGGCCCTCTGGATGTGGCCAGTGAACTGCCTCCCTGCAGACAACTGCGAGCAAGTGCCCCAAGTGTCGGCAGGAGAACCTTCAGGGGACAGGAAGGGCAGCCCACAGCCCAGCACACACACCTGCTGCGTGGCTCTCTCTCACACTGACATTGAATTCATTCTCGGGGAACTGGGGCGCATGGTCATTCACATCAGTGATCCTGATGTTGAAGATCAAGGAGTTGTCCACGTACTCTCCTGTCAAACGGTTCACAACATCGAAGTAAACCTGGGAAGCAGAGAACCTTGTTAATGTGGAAGAACCTCTGGCTTGGTGACGCTAATCACATTACCGCCAGAATCACAATGGAGAAAGGAGACATCAGGGATAATTCCTGCATGTGGAAAGGGCTTTAGCCTTGTGTTGTAGCTGGAAGATTGCCATCCTCGGAGAAACAAACCATAGTGCATTGAGGTGGTGGATTGGCATATGGCTATTTAAAATTACACATGCAAGGTCTATGCTCTTAGACACAAATGAGCAAGAAGAAACATCCTATGTGCCAAACAAATATAACATCACTTCTATGCAGAGATCATAAGTGGGTCAAGATAACTGTTGGGATGAAGATCAACAGAAAGTTATTTTGAGGAATATGAAAGGATGGATTTTTTTTTTTAGTGTATTTGCATCCTATGAAATTGAGCATGTTTTGATATGAATAGATAGGATTCCTGCACAGAAAAAAAAAAAAACATCTTTTCCCTTTTCAACTCCATCTTAAATCTTACAGAAGTTCTAACTTGGTGTCACTGCTTCTCATAGGTTCATAGAATTAACAAGAAGTTAGCCCCCCCATCCCACACCCAGACCCTGCCACCTCCCAAACACAACTGGGAAGTGTTGAGGCTGGTTCTGGTGACTCCTTCACTGTCCAGTGCCACGAGAAAGGTCTTTTTGCTACTGCATTGGGCTTACTTAGTGTTTAATAGCACCTGTCATTGTGGACAGAGAATGATCAGCATTCTTCCACCGAGGCAGGTGGTTGAGCCCAAACGCTCAGTTTGTATAGTGCTCCCGTGACACTTGGCTCTCCCACTTTTTTTTAATCTTTATTGTTGAGAGTATTATAGATGTCCCTCCCCTTCTTCCCCTCATTGCCCCCATCACCTGGATCCTGCCCCACCCAAGGCTTTCACCACCCTATTATCTATGTCCATAGGTTATGCATATATACATATGAGTTATTTGGTGGATCTTTTCCCACCACCTATCCCCACTTCCCTCTGAGATTCTTCAGTCTGTTCATGTTTCCATGCTTCTGGTTCTCTATTTTATTCATCAGTTTATTTTGTTCATTAGATTCCTTGTTCATTTATTTTAATTTTTAGCTTCAGTTGTGGATACGTATTTATTGCCTTCTTCTTTTTTTCTTCTTCTGCTTAAAGAAGACCCTTTAACATTTCTTGTAATACTGGTTTGGTGGTGATGAACTCCTTTAGATGTTTCTTGTCTGTGAAGCTCTTTATCTGACCTGAATAATCGTGGTTATAGGTCCTTGCTTTTCTCATCACTTTGAATATTTCTTGCCACTCCCTTCTGACCTGTAAAGTTCCTGCTGAGCAATCAACTGACAGTCATATGGGTGCTCCCTTATAGGTAACCTTTGTCATTTTAATTATGATGTGTTTTGGTGTGGACCTCTTTTGGTTCCTGTTGTTTGAGACTCTCTGAGCTTCCTGGACTTGTATGTCTATTTCTTTCACCAGGAAAGGGAAGCTTTCTGTCATTATTTTTTTTTCAAATAGATTTTAAACTTCTTGCTCCCTCTCTTCTCCTTCCAGCACCTCTGTGATAGGTATGTTGGTACACTTGAAGTCCCCCATTGTCTTAATTTTCTTTCTTTTTTTTAATTCTTTTTTATTTTTGCTGTTCTGATTTGGTGTTTTTTGCTTCCTCATATTCCAAATCGCTGATATGATTCTTGGCATCCTCTACTCTACTATTGATTCCTTGTAAATTATTCTTCATTTCAGTTAGTGTGTGCTTCCTTTCTGACTGGTCCTTCTCTATGTCATTGATGTTCTAAATTCCTTGCAGTTGTCACTAAGTTCCTTGATCATCCTCATAACTGTTTTGAACTCTATATTGGTAGTTTGCTTGCTTCCTTTTCATTTAGTTTTTTCTGCAGATTTCTTCTGTTCTTTCATTTGTGACATTTCTTTGTCTCTGCATTTTGGCCATTTCACTGTGTTTGTTTCTATGTATTAGGTAGAGCTGCTATGTCTCCTGGAATTGATAGAGTGGCCTTATGTAGTAGGTGTCCTGTAGGGCCCAGTGGCTCAGCTCCCCAGTCACCTGAGCTGGGCATTCTAAGGGCACCCCTGTGTGGCCTGTTGTAGTTGAGCCTTGCTTGCTGTTGGCATCACTTGGAAGGATTGACCCCCAGGCCAATCAGATATGTGGACAACCTGTGAGTACAGCTTAGCTGTTATGCAGGAGTTGCCCCTGAGGTGCAGGACTTGCTTCAGTGGGGCTTTGGTGCTCACAGAGTCTGGTCCTTGAGTGTGTCACTCCTAGATGTGGCAGGGTTGTAATATGGCATGGTCTAAAGCTGATCACCAGGTCCCCTGGCTCTGAGGCCCCTCAGGAGTTGCAAAATCAGCTACTTCCTGTGCTCTGCCTGGGGCCACCTAGCACAAGCTACAGAGTGATCTGCAGATGGCTGCTATTTGTGTTGGGCTTGGCCGTGCCCAGGAGAGGCCAAACTGTGGACCAAGACAGGCTGTTGCTAGTGCTGGGCCTGGGGCCTTCTCTTGAGAGGTACAGGGCATTCTGAGGCCAGCTGCTGCTTGTTTGAGAGATTTTAGAAAAGTCTGAAGCCTGAGCCTGGACTGGCTATTCATATGGAAAGACCACTGCACACAGCTTGAGTGGGGCTGCAAATTGGGTGGTGCAGGGCTTCAGGAAGTTACCAGGGTGGGGAACACACTGTGGGCCAGCTTGATGGAAACTCAGACATGGTGCCCGCCAGTCAGCACTGTGGTGTGGAAGGTCTCAGCATAGGAACAGTGACCTCTGCCAGCATTTTTGTCTGGGAGAAAGCTGCCTCTTAGTTCTTTGCTCTTATGCCAGACAATTTAGTTCCTCCCCATATATCCCTGGTTCCTTTCAAGCTGCTGGAGCTCAGAGGGAGTGAGTCCAAGTAAGTCTCTGTGCTGGCCCTTTAAGAGGAACAACTGGGACTTCAGTAGCCTCTGTGTCACTCAGCCACAATTCCCACCTGAAGTTACAGGAATTCTCTTCCTGGCACTGAATCCCTGGGCGGAGGGGCCTGGTATGGGGCTGGGACCCCGTGCTCCTCACGTAAACCTTTGCAGACAAGATATCCCTCCCAAAGAAAACAACATAGGTGGGTGTTGGGCAAGGCTGTTCTGCACCTTTGTCCTTCCTACCAGTCTCATTATGCTTTCTTCTTTAATTCTCTAGTTGTAGGATTTCCGTTAAGCCAAATTTCAGGCGGTTCTGAATGATGGTTGTTCTGTGCTTTAGTTGTAATTTTTATGTGGTTGTGGGAATGTGTGAGTACTGCGTTTATGGATGCTGCCACCTTGACCGGAAGTCTCTCAGCTGTCCCACTTCTGAAGGTTGGCATCTTCCTTGTCAGCCACGTCACCTCTTCTAACCCCAGTGTGTTCATGTCCTATGACTGCTGGAACAACGGACTACAAACTGCGTGGCTTACAACAAAAACTCCATCTTTCACAGAACCGAGTTGAGGTGTGGGCAGGGCTGGTTCCTGCTGGAGGCTCTGAGGGAGAATCTGTCTCCCGGTTTGTGGTGGTTGCCAGCAGTCCTTGGTCTACAGATGCATCACTGCAGTCTCTGTGCCAAGCTTTACATGGCCTTTCCCCGTGTCGTTCTCTGAGTCCAAATCTCCCTCCTCTCATGAGGATGCCAGTCACTGGGTTAGGACCTACACACAACAGTAACCCAGAATGACCTCGCCTTTATTTGTTTACATCTATGAAGAATCTATATCTAAGTAAGCTCACATTTACAGTACCAGGGGTCAGGACCTGAACCCATCTTTTTGGAAGACACAGTTCAACCCACAACACCCTGGAAGGCAGAGCCTACATTTTTCTGTGTGCATTTATTCATCCAACATGATTAATTGAGGACCTACTATGTACAGGGCCCTCTTCTTGATGCTGGGGTCATGGCAATGAACAAGACAGGGTCTCACCGCTCTTAGAACCTACATTCTAATGGAGATTGACCTTCAAAAGGCACTCAAACACAGAAGTACACATTCATGGAATGCAGAGAATTGGGGAGAAAAACCAGAGTAATGTGACAGAGAGCCATGGGGGGGGGGGGGGGGGGGGCGGGCACACCTCAGAGATCTCACCTGTATCTTCCTTCCTGCAGGTTTGCAGTCAAATAAGAGGACTGACTAGCCAACTGTTGCAGACATCCCTGTGAAAGGACACCTGTGAGCAGTGCTTTGGGGATGGGTAAGTGGGTTTGATGAAGCCGGGAAGGTGCAAGCACAGGGCCTGGAAATCTCGATGGGAAGAACCATGGGGATGTCTTCCGTGTCCCCACATTTTTTCTTTCTGACATAAATGGTGCCTGGGACCCATCTACGACATGCCAGGCTTTTCCATCTGTACCTCAAGTTTCAGAAAACAACCCTTAAGACTTCACTGAAGATGTTAAAAGCAAACAACACCCAGAAAAGAAAAACCACAGGCACTAAATGTTTGCTCTGCCCTTGCACAGGTCATTGTGATTGTCATGTTCTAGGTCTTCTGTCCTCAGCGTCTAGACACATCTCCTGGAGAGAGCCTACTGGCCCAGCATCTGCATTTAACCAACCCCCTGGGTGATCTGCACTCATTAAAGACCAGAACGCACCATCCCAGGGTCCCCCGTGACCTCTGTTTTCCTTCTCTTACCAGACTCTGCAGGTTCTGTGGATGGGACAGGGTTTGTATGGAGTCGTCTTTGCATGTCTTTCAGAATTTGGGGATACTTTCTGCCTCTTTATAAGTTAGAGATGCAGAACCTGTCAGTGAGTTAAGGGAATATATTTTCTTATGTATATAAAAATGTTGAGGTCACTGAACAAAAGCTACTTACATCCCTTCTCTCTGATGTTAACACCTTCCCACCCCGAAGGAGTTAATGTATAGCCGGTCAGGTAGAGGACCTGGATTCCCACTAAGAAACTGTCGCCGGGTGTGCAGCTGCTCACTCATCAGTTATTAGGCAACCCAGGGGTCTGTCTATACCTCTCTCCATATATTTCAACTGTGACTCTTCAGAGGATAAATTTGCTCATTTAATGCTGTGAAATCCTGATCTGTGGGGATACTGGTCAGTAAAAGGCAGAAGGGTAGCAGTTCACATAGACACAGAAATCGTTACAAAGCCAATGTCCAGACTAAAGATTACAACATTCACCTCTGGGTCCCATGCACACTTTTAAAGCTCTCCGAGATGCATAATAACACATCCACCTCCCATAACCTGACACACAGCTCAGATAATGCTACCACGTACACAATTCCAGCCAGAGATTTACAGTATCGAATTCTAGGTACCGTAAAAGATGGCGTCGTCTCTCGGTCAACAGGGCGGTGAACATAGACTTTTCCATTCTCGTGATCTTCTATAGAAAACAAGCCAATCTCCGGATATCTATCCACACCTGGTCCACTGATTAAATACATCAGTGCCATGTTAACTGACATATTGTTGAACAGCTGGAAGGAGGAAAAATTAAGAAAAACAGAATGAGCATAAACCACTTTGCATGTCATTTACCAAGGCCGAGACTCAGAGGCATCAGTGAAGAACCATACCCAGCAAGAGTGCATGGGAGGGCTTGTCCTAAAGAAATAAGCGGGTCAGCAAAGGTGCAGGAGCAAGGAACAAGTTGACTGTTAATAGTGAGAAGTCACAAGCAACATCAATGTGCAACCACATGGAAAGAATGCTGTGGCCTGGACGTCCATGCTCCTCCCCAGAAATGGGCGTGGCCCAGGGTTAGGCAGAAGCTGCATTCGGAAGAGCAAGCAGAGTGTGACCCATTCTGCTAACACAGATTCCCATGGTGAAATTGTAGGGAAGTACCTGAAAGCATGCATACCCGTTTGTGAATTTCGGTTGTCCGACCAGGGAAAGACAAGTAATAGCCACACAGCTGACAGTTAGGAGAGCTCAGAGTGAGCCCGCGCACTGCATGCCTCACTCGTCCTGACCTACTGTAGAACAGCCCTTAACGGAAGCAGGTCATTGATGAGGAAGCAACGAGGGTCCCTAATAGAGGGAGCACGTGGAACGTCTGGAACATGTGCTCCAACCCCTGGGAGTCTACACTTTTAACCATTGGGCCTTGAAAACTCCCTGTAGGCCTTGAAAACGTCCTGTAGGGTTTTTATAGTAGGCATATGCTGTTTTTATAAACATTGTGAAAATGAGTTATTCTTAATTATTTTCTAGGAATCAGGCACAGTGGACTCAAGCACGCTGTGTAACTCAGAAGCCCATCACAGCCAGGAAGGTGGTGGAATGCACAGCCCGGGCCATGTGTAAGAATTCTGGCATTCTGACAGCACTGGATGTCTTCTTTGGTGCCTCAGTTGATCCTCAACCTCAGAGTGAGGGAGACAGTAGGGAGTGGTGGGGACTGTGGCATTCTGAGTACCTCAAACCCCATCTAATTGTTGCCATGTGAGAATGGCTCCATGTGGTCAGGTTTTACAATTTTTAAAAAGCTTCTAGAAGACAGAACTTTTAATACAGCCTCCCTATTTTTTCTAATGTTTTTATTGTGCTAAAATAACAACATAAATTTACTCTCTTAACTGTTTTTCAGTGCGCAGTTCAGTGATGTTAAGTACATTCATGTCATTGTGCTGCCGTCAGCACCATCATCTCCAGAACATTTTCATCTTGCAAAAGTGACTGTCCCAATTAAACACTCACCTGTGACACCCTCCCACCACCCCTGGCACCCACAGTTCTACTTTCCTTTTTTATTTTAATCTCACTTTTACCCCCTCCCCTCCCCCCGCCCCAGCTTCTGGTAACCACAATCTCCTTATTTTTAAACTAGTGGCCTGGTGCATGAAATTCATGAACATTAAAAGGGAATTAATTAGAGAAAATACTTTATATTGCTATTTGCCCTTTTCTTTATAATAGAAGTGTCAGAGATGAAAGAAAATTA